TTCCAAGATACCACACCATAACCTATGAAAACTGATACATATAATTTCACTGAACATGTCACATTAAAATATGCTCAATATCCATTTAATTAAAAATATATTCAATATCAATAAAGCTAGGAAAGACCTTCCTCTTAAAAAATTTAGATTGTAATTAGCTGATCTATAAATAGACATAACCCACATCCGTTTAAATTTAAGACCGAATTGAATGTGAGACTTAGGGAAAACGGCCGGCACCCACCCCACCCAGAGGCGTAGCAAGGGTGTTTGGCGCCTGGGGACAAGATTCGCGCCCGGTGACAAGATCCATTTTAAAGCGCCCCCTTTTCTTTTTGTCAACTCTCAAACCTATTATTTGTACCAATAATATAATCTCGAAGCACATTTTGGCGCCCCTAACTAGCTTGCGCCCGGGGACATCTGTCCCCACTGCCCCCTCGCTATGCCTCTGCCCCCCCCCTCCAATAAAATCCTAAACTTTTGATAAATCCTGAATCTAATTCATATAGGAATAATTATTAGCATTAGAAGTAAGCATTAGATGCTCCAAAGGAGTGGTTCTCAAACTTGTTTCCGGCACCACCACCCCACCCCCCTAGGACCATAAATCTACCCTGAACACCCCTGTCCTAACCCAAACCCATCATAAGCGTTCCTAGGAATACAAATTTACGCGACCGTCTATGCTGGATTATTACATTAAATTATGTCAAGACGAAGTGTAGGGCCTACGTATATTTAAATGTTGAGATCAAAGACAGATGAAATGTTATTCTTTTAATAATTCAAATATATATATTTTTTTATTATTTTTTGTTGTTGTAAAACTGATTCTTTGAATCAAGCGATACCTCAGCTTTTGAAAGTGGAATTATTGTTTTGCAAGTTTTTTTTTTTTAATACTTTAAATTTGGTCAATTCAAGCCGCGGGGCACATGGCCAAATGGCCACTTGATCTGAATGATGCTGATCACTTGTTAGTAGATAGATGGCCTGGCTTGGTCAAGAGATAATAGATTTTTCAATGCCATGTTTTAATTGCCTTAGAAAAAAAGACGTCACTGACAATGTTTCTACCTCGGTGCTATTTCTTTGCCTCGAGCAAGACTGGATGGCCCCAATCAAACCACCGAGCCCTGTGAACAGTGGTGAACATGCAACAAAACTATTCTTATCTTCCATGCAGAATAAACAGTAACATTTCAAAGCTTCAAGCTGTTGCCGAAACTCACGAAAAATTATGAAACGCTCAGACTATCTTCAACATAGCATATACAAGTGGTCTTATAGTACTACACGGCCTAATACCACTATTACTTACGATAGATGTAGGCCTACATGTAGTGGCGATAGACCGGGCTTCTTTTGTCGTAGAACGCATCCGTACGACGTACCAACACCTTTTTTCGACGCGTTTTGCTCACATTATGTCTGGTCCACGTCTATTTGAATCGCCCTGTCTAGGGGAGCAGATCAGGGGAAAAGTATTAAAACTTAAAACTGTGCAAGTTTGTATAGCGTGTCCGGGCATTTTGAGAAAATACCCGTTGGGTCCAAGGGTTAAAAAAAAACAGACTTAACTTCTCATTTTCTATAATATGCAACGAAATCCACTGCCCTATGTCGTAGAGAGAGTGCATTGCCTTCGTCAACTGTTCGAGTCAAGAAATAACCCACTGATAGGAACAGGCAGTTGCCGGATCCCGGAATGGAGATGACGTCGTTCAAAAATCCATCACTTTAGAATATAATGTCGTTCATTTTATAACAAAGAATTACGCAACAACGGTCGCAGTATAAAGAAAATAGCAATACCTTCCTGCACTGGGCTAGGGAAAAGGCTCAGTGGTACACGTGCCCGAAATTAAAGGACGACCCATGACCTAGTTCTGTGTGGTGTGAAGCCCCAGGACAAAGATGAGAACAAACAGTAACATTTTTAAAAAAAAATTATTTCTAAAGACAAATATCAACCTATTGGCTGGACTTGAGATGTTACACATGAAGCTCCCTGTCGGATAGAGGAACACGAACAATAACAACACCGTGAACAGACACAAATATCAACCTATTGGCTGGACTTCAGATGTTACACATGAAGCTCCCTGTCGGATAAAGGAACACGAACAATAACAACACCGTGAACAGACACAAATATCAACCTATTGGCTGGACTTGAGATTACACATGAAGCTCCCTGTGGGATAGAGGAACACGAACAATAACAACACCGTGAACAGACACAAATATCAACCTATTTACCAGTTCAGACGTCACACACGAAGCTCGCTGTATGGCAGATGTTTTTCACTCAGTACTGTTACGATGAAACATGTGGAGTTGGGCGCGGGGCGGTTTTGAAGAGGAAGCAGGACGCACCAGAAGCAAAGAAATATATAACAATATAAGATTTAAAAAAAAAATAAATTTAAATTAAGGGGCCATCTATTAGTGGCGCCACGTTACCGGCTTATTTTGGACCCCTCCCCTCCTCATAAATAGTTGCATAATTTTTAAGACACCCTCATAATAGTTCGTCATAAATTCGTGCCCCACCCCCCATGCGTGACCTCAAATGGATGACCCCTAAAATATTAACAAGATTGAGTACCGGCCCTTCTCTTCCAGCTCAGACGGGTTAAAAATGAGTACAACTCGAGGCGGCCAATATTGCGCTTGAATAGAGTTAATTTTTCATCGAAAGTAAGAGAAACAGTTTAACTGCAAATTCAGTTTTATTGAATTTAGAAAACAGTTTTGATCTATAAGCAACGTCGCGTGTCTTTAGAGTCATCACCAAAATAAACTTTTGTGCCAACAAGCGTCAGAATGAAGCGGAATAAACTACATGGTTCTCAAAAAGAGTCTTCAGAAATGGTCAATCATTGAAAGCTTCAGAGACGGTAAAGCATTGAGAGCTTCAGAGATGGTCAATCTTTGAGAGCTTCTGAAATGGTCAATCATTGAGAGCTTCTGAAATGGTCAATCATTGAGAGCTTCAGAGATGGTCAATCTTTGAGAGCTTCTAAAATGGTCAATCATTGAGAGCTTCTGAAATGGTCAATCATTGAGAGCTTCAGAGATGGTCAATCTTTGAGAGCTTCTGAAAAGGTAAATCATTGAGAGCTTCAGAAATATTAAATCATTGAGAGCTTCAGAAATATTAAATCATTGAGAGCTTCAGAAATATTAAATCATTGAGAGCTTCAGAAATATTAAATCATTGAGAGCTTCAGAAATAGTAAATCATTGAGAGCTTCAGAAATATTAAATCATTGAGAGCTTCAGAAATATTAAATCATTGAGAGCTTCAGAAATATTAAATCATTGAGAGCTTCAGAAATATTAAATCATTGAGAGCTTCAGAAATATTAAATCATTGAGAGCTTCAGAAATATTAAATCATTGAGAGCTTCAGAAATATTAAATCATTGAGAGCTTCAGAAATATTAAATCATTGAGAGCTTCAGAAATATTAAATCATTGAGAGCTTCAGAAATATTAAATCATTGAGAGCTTCAGAAATATTAAATCATTGAGAGCTTCAGAAATATTAAATCATTGAGAGCTTCAGAAATATTAAATCATTGAGAGCTTCAGAAATATTAAATCATTGAGAGCTTCAGAAATAGTAAATCATTGAGAGCTTCAGAAATATTAAATCATTGAGAGCTTCAGAAATATTAAATCATTGAGAGCTTCAGAAACGGTAAATCATTGAGAGCTTCAGAAACGGTAAATCATTGAGAGCTTCAGAAACGGTAAATCATTGAGAGCTTCAGAAACGGTAAATCATTGAAAGCTTAAGAAATGTTCAATTATTGAGAGCTTCAGAAATATTAAATCATTGAGAGCTTAAGAAATAGTCCATCACTGAGAGCTTAAGAAATAGTAAATCATTGCGTCTGCTTAAAATTGTTTAAACTTTACTTATTGTTATAGCGGTCACTGGGTTGTTGTTTTTATTCAGCAAAGATGTTGGCAACAACCAATGGGTTCAGTCAGTCATTGATGGTGCTCCATGAATTGCAACTGTATGCAATTATTTCTAATTCTATTGTCATGGAAGAACGCTTCTAAAACACAAAATATTGACCCCTCCCTACCTTTCTTATCTTCCGTCTTTCAGAATATATTTTTGTTTTTTTCATCCAAACTTTTAAACATAAGCGATAAACCAATATTTATTGTCTGTAAATTGAACTCATCCAGTTGAAATGAAAACTCTGTTGATTTTATTATGCCACGAAACTATTCTTCCATAGCCTCTGCCTTGTGTCTATGAAACTTTAATCTCACTAACACCTGGCAAGATCTGTTCTTCACTGATCTTTTGTGACTTTCTCAATTTAGCCATTAGTAATTTTATATTCAAGCACCGCTATCAAAGGTAATTTCTTTTTTTAGATGTATGTGAAAAGAACATTAAATGAAGTTCATCCTCAATGCTTATGTGACCCAACAATAAAAACAGAATTTGATATTTCTTTAAAAAATATGAATAGTTTTAAAAACGTATTCCCTATTTAATTCCCGAGGCCCCAGTTGAGAGTCCCAGCGCCACCTAAAATCTCACAAGTCTTTCATCGCCCTTTTGGGCTATCCCAACTCCCCCCCCCCACACACAAATGGGTTGGTACCACCCACTTTGAGAACCACTGCTCTAAAGGTTTATCAGATAAATTCATCTCTACTGCACATCAAACTAAGTGGGTGATGCATCAACAAGGATTTATTATTTCCAGACTAATTTTATTACTAATACTAATAATTTCTATTATCTACTCCTACAGGCCTTAGCCTAATTTTTTAGAATCAAAGACTACAAATGTAATCATGGGGACTGATGAATCAAATTACAGCATTAAGGTGAAGTACCATCCATCATCCCAACTTACTCCAAGTATGATGTTAATACATTATAATTACCCCCACTCACCTTTACACACAACAGGTCAACATTAAAATACAAAACAAAAAAAAAACTTTAAGAAATGTATTTTAATGTTATGAGTTCATCCAGTCAAATCAATGTATAAATTGCTTTTTCAATGTTCCTATTATGTTTTAATTGACTACTATTTGGTTCAGGTTTACATTTAGGACTTTGATAATGTATTTTTGTTCAAGTTAGTTTGAAAAGATGTTTGTGAATGGTGTTACTAGTGCAGACCTGTTTACCCTCAAACTCTTAAAATCGCATAATATCATCACAAAATCGTTCAATACGTTATATTTATATTAAAAAATAAACAGTATATACAACCTACACACCTAAAAATCGTACATTGTATGCCAAAATCGTAAGAGTAAACAGGTCTGCTAGTGGAATAATTTAGAACCCAATTAGTTTTGTGCTACATTAACAATCTGCTCTTTCAATTTAATTTTTACAGATTTTGTCCTCTTGGGTCTTGCATGTGGGACATACATGTGAAAAGTATTTAAGTCTTGACGAGACAGACTGTCTGCCAGCCAGTTCTGCTCTCTACTAATCCAGGAGGCATGCAAAGTGATTCCAAACTGTTGACAACTGGAGTGTAGAATGGAGATTAGGTGATCAGCTTTGCATATGCAACTTGAAACCTCAACAGGGTTTGTATTGAAAGAGTTGATAAGTCCCACCACAGTCTGAAATAGTTATTTAAATATACTATATTAAATTGAAGACAATTTTATTGTCTTTTACAGTACACAAGAATAAGTTCTTTAAATTTTAACTATTTCTTTGGTGTCAAATAACACAACATAAATAGTAATTGAAGATTAAGGGAAATGTCAAGAAATACAAAATTGAGATCAATTAGATAAAATAATATAGGTCAGAGAGCTGGAAATAACTGCATGCGTGCCGAACTTGTAGTAACTTTCATTTGCATCGGTAAGGCCAAAATGAACTTGCATATAATATAATACAAAAATGTTAGGGCTGATAGGCTCATAGGTTGTTGGCAAAAATAATGAATTAGAAATCCTACTTTGGGCACAATATTACCAAAAGGTTGACAATCCCTCATATGGGAGGCCCTTTTGATACTAAGTCTTATAAAAATAGTGTGACATTATAGAGAATTCCAGGTCTTTATGATAACATACTACAAACAAGAGTTTGCAGATGGGGCACACTTTCTGCAATTAAAAGCAAAAAGAGCTTTATGGTCTTCAGGGAGTGAGAAAAAATAATGACAATTCTTTACCATTATAACTACAACAAAAAAATGCCTTTTTTTTTTTTTTTTTTTTTTTTTTTTTTTTTTTTTTTTTTTTTTTTTTTTTTTTTTTTTTTTTTTTTTTTTTTTAAGCTTTATGGTCTTCAGGGAGTGAGAAAAAATAATGACAATTCTTTACCATTATAACTACAACAAAAAAATGCCTTTTTTTTTTTTTTTTTTTTTTTTTTTTTTTTTTTTTGTTTTATTATTTTTTTTTTTTTTTTTTTTTTTTTTTTTTTTTTTTTTTTTTTTATATTTTTTTTTTTTTTTTTTTTTTTTTTTTTTTTTTTTTTTTTTTTTGGGTTCATAATGTTTCTGTATAGTTTTTTTGTTTTCTACTATTGTGAGAGGGGGACAGATAGAAGAAAATAGAGATAAACTAGACTAGACAACATACTGCATGATTTTATACTATATATTATACCACACTACATGATGTTTTACTAACAACAATTCACAATGCAGTGACTCAATAGTTTTAGCATAAAGCTCTATTGCCAAATAGGCACCATTTGATAGTCTTGATGTTTTTCTATAATTACAGGTTGTTTATTTATGACATGTTATAATTATAATTGGTAACATTGCAAATCCCATGTACATGCATAGGAGCCAAAATGATTAATAAATTGATCGTGGGCCCTTAAGATATTGAAGAAGAAGATTATTGGTTACAATTTAAATCAATCAATATAGTCTGTTATTGACTATTGACAAATGCACATAAATGTTAAAGATGCAGGAGTTTCAGTATAGCATATTTTGGTTGACACTGTATTTGATAAAGATAGAACTTTTAGAACACAAATTAACAAAATGTATATAGCTGTCCAACTTAACCATTTTAAAAAAATAATAAAATAAGTGATGCCAATTTATACATAATGTTTTCAAAATCTGCAGTTTCCTGAAGTTTAATGCTGACTGAGGCTAAACCAAGTCCTTGAATCATTTATAGATTTAATGGACAATAGTTTAATTTCAACAAAGTAAAAGAATGCTCACAGTTCAAATTAAATCTGCACTATTGGCACATTAACTAAATGGCAAATCTTTACTTAAGGCAATATATTGTTTTACAAATGTCCTTTAACACTCGAAATNAGGTGGGGGGGGGGGGGTTGTATACCAAGGAGTATTATTTTTGTGTGGCTACATGCTGTAGTGCTGTAGTAAATTTTACTTCAGCATTGCAATGGCTATGCCTTCAAGCCAAATAATTAGTTATTTTTATTAAATATACAGTATGCGCCAAAAGTTTGCAATGAGTACTAAAACATCTTTGATACTAATGATACTGTAAATCAGCTATGTGTAAGTTCACAAATTATTTAAGGAAAGAGGTGCATTTTTATACAAAACAAAAACACTTACTGGGTGGCCAGACTTTCCCCTCTGTTGACAGAGTACACTTCCAGAAAAAAAGCATAGACTCTAAAACTAAAAATTGTTTTGCCACCTTTTTTCAAACACATTCCTCCTTTATGACCACTTAAGTATGAGCGAAAATAATGCTCAAATATGATTTTTTTTTCATTAGTCGAGAGACCCTCTTCCAACAAAATCTGCCCTCTACCTTTTCATTATTCAGAACATGTGTTGACTGGAACTATACAATACAGACTATTGACAAATGCACATAAATGTTAAAGATGCAGGAGTTTCAGTATAGCATATTTTGGTTGACACTGTATTTGATAAAGATAGAACTTTTAGAACACAAATTAACAAAATGTATATAGCTGTCCAATTTTTAAATATTTGTTATGACTTATTTTATCATATAAAAACACATTCTAATCTAGTTAAACACATTGTAATGCTGTCTTATTCTATACCTTGTTATCACTTATACACAACAGCCTTCTTCCTCGCAGTTTACGTTTCCAGGAGAAGATAGCATTGACAACAGCATAAAGCTCTGCTAATGTGGGTGGTATATCAAACTTGTGTGTGGAAAGTTGTGTCAATTGCCTTATTTCTTCCCATTCTTCACTTAGCCAGTAGACCTAGAAATAAACATAAATATTCCATTAAACATTACTTACATTTGTTCATTCTGAACATGATGAATCACAGACCTTATCAAGAGACTTAAAAAACCCAAAAATTCTAAGAACTGAATTTATGTTTCATAGTGAGGCAGCTGTCCACTCAATTTCAATATCTACAAATTCATTGAGAGAAGATGAAACATCTTTGGTTTTTTTCAGGACAAAAGCTTTTCAGCCTAATAATGAAATACTGCCATTGTCGATTGGTCTGATGACCAACGAGAGCCGTTATAGGTGATGCCTGTGTGATATCAAGAACACAAACTTTGCTCTGATAATCCATCATGGTTTCTCTAGATCAATTCTCAACTGTTTTCCCAACCCTAAAAAGACAATTAAAGGATGTACCGGTAACAGAATAGTGAAGAAAGACATATTATGGAATCCCAATTGCTCCTGGGTAAGGTCATGAAGCCCTATTCTATCTACCTTTTCAGATTATTTTTTAATAATTTGACAAATTTTCCAACAAAAATGAAACAACCATGGCATTGAATGTCACATTTTAGGTGGCAATTAAGACAGATCTCCAGGATGTCTGCATCTACCAAAAATGTTGGTTATACAAAAATTATTCAATTTCTAAGAATATTGTATAGCATATATTTTGCATGCAATCCATTTGGTCAGCAGAGCAACTGCACTGAGTTAAATTAACATAGACCAAACTTACCAAACAGAGACCAAAACCATATAGACAAAAACAAAAGAAAGCTTCTGGTTACCTGTCTTTCTCCCTCTAATAGTAAGTAGGCACCAAATCCTTTGGTCGATGCATCACAAAACAGTTCAGCATTTGCATTAAATTTCACTATAGCAGTTTTGTCACAGGCCAGCTGGTGATTTACGATCCAATGCTGTTTTGTGTACATGAACATATGTTTCATAAGGCTGGTGGAAGACACATCAGTATTGTCTTTTGTCAGCAAGCCTATGGTCTGGTGAAGGCATAAATTGCAATGTCTTGTTTTGAGCTTAAATTGTGCTAGCATTTTATTAATAAAATGAAAATTTTACTAAATTTTTAGTATTTTTAAAGTTAAAGATCTTATTTCTTTTAAAATCATGATAGTTAAATAGTGATTTTAATCAAGCAACACCATTTGACATGTTTATATAGCTAAGTTGGACTTCTCGATACAAATAATTTTTATTGCTTAAGGCAAAGTTATTTTCAAAATGTTTTCCTTGACAAAGATAAAATAAATATGGGAAAGTAATACGGTGCACAACATAAATGAGCTAGAAAAAAAAGATGTGTAACAAAATTTCTTAAAAGTTTACCTTTAATTTTGATGCGACAGCCATAAATCCAAGCATGTAAGCAGAGGGCAAGGATATTCCTTGCTTTTGAACAGTGAAAGGTGAAGGCCAACCTACATGAACTGTGCATACCCAAAATGGCTTATTTACCAAAATGTTATCTGAATTTGACAACAGGTCAAGTTGAGAATTTATATTAGATAACAAATTTGCAGATATAAAATTGGAAATATCATTATTAGTTTTGCTGTAATTTTCATAGAAATGGTGCACAAGACCAAAAATTTCATTGTTAATTGCCAATCTCTTTTTTGGAATACTGTCCTTTGAATATTTAAATTGCACATTGATATAACTTTTATTTGATTGGTTGAAACATTCTTGATTGGAGCCAACACTTTTTAAAATATCAGCTGCACTGTTTTCTTTGGTTAAAGTTTCCATATTTTCAACTTTCACTGCCTCATCCATGCTGCTTCCCGTCAATTTAGCTTGCTCCAAAATTATTTTAAATCCACGTCCTCTTGATGAGCCAAATGTGGATGCTCCATACTTGGCCATAGTTTCTAGCATATTCATCACTTTTTCACATGTTGTTGCTTTCCATATTCCCTCACTATTTTTGTATATTAAGCCATGAACCTGAAAGAGAATCAATGGATTATCATTAAATTTATTAAAAATAAAAACTTGGAAATGTAAAAGTGTTGGATTTTTTGTTTAATACCACCATGAGTAACAGTAAAAATGACATATGACTTTTCTTGACAGCTCATCATACATTTTTTTAATACATGATATCATAAATAAATTACAGTTCTGTAAATTATTTGTATATATTAAACCATATTTTAAACTAACAATGTTCCTGATAAATTATATGTAAATATCTAGCAGCATCCGTAAACCGTTTCCCAGAAAACATAAACTCTGTAATTATACCCAGCATATGATCTTTCTTTATACCTCATAAGTCAATGAAATTTTAAGGAAGTTACCTCAAGCTGAAAACACATGCGCAAAAACACTCTCTCAATGGCTTGCTGTTTGTCAGAATGAATGCCTGTTTCTTGAATTTTGTGTTGCCATTGGAAACAAAGATGAGCTTTGAAGTAATTATTGTTAAAGTGACTGGTTACAACCAGGTCCAGTTTTATAGCTGGATCAGCTTCAACCAGAGGCTTTACAACATCAAAGAACAGCTTCATATGGTCAGGATAATTAGACATTAGCTTTTCAACTGTATAAAACATTAGGACATGAAACAAGCTGTTTATTAAATATACAAGAATTGAACCAAATTAGAAGAAACAAAAATTAACTAATTCATAATTATAATTATAAGAAGGTTGGGCTGCAATAAAGCAAAGTAGAATATAGATAAAGACAAACCATTTTGTCTACAGGTAAATAGAAATAATGGTTACCGTATATACTCATTCCAAAGACGACTTTTTGTTTTTTTAGAAATATTTCAGATTTCATGGGAATAAGAAGGGGGGTGTGGTCAGCTTATGAGCTGATCATAGGAGATTTTTATAATTTTCTCCAGGTTCATTGATTCTATTATAGAAAACAATGAAGAAAAAAGTAACTAAAGCAAGTTAAGTCTTGCGTTATGTAAGTATAAGGTCACTCATTTTATCCTAATTTTGCCAAGTATCAAAGTACCTACATTGAAATGTATTCATTGTCATTGTAGATTGCAGAGGTTGATTTTTTGGGAATCATTCAGTATGGTTACCCAGTACCATTTATACTGGTAGACATGGAAAGCGAGTATCTGCATTATACTCTATAGATAATAGTTTTGAAGTCTTTTTACTTGTTCTATAATTATTTTTTTTATTTCGGTTTTTAAACAAAAGAAATTATTTTCTTTAGTAGGTACCATATTGCTTCTCCAAAAACATATTATTTTATGGGGTTGGCTTAGGCGCAGATTGCACACTTTTAAACCTTTTTCAGGCCAAAGTTTAAGAACAAACGTGCCTATAATTATGAATCATGAACGAGTATATATCGAAAACTAGAATAAAAATAGACATTGTGCAATTTAAAATGTTTTGGCTGCAAGCCTTCATCAGTTAAACATGAAATACTGGTATATGAATTTAAACTCACGTACTGAATAAAAGGGAAAAGATAGGGAAAAATAGTTGAAAAGTGTATTCAATTTTTTTTAAATATCTTTTTTTTTCTCTCACAAATTTTCCTTAAAATAAGATAAGATAAGAAAAGATTCTTTTATTGATCCAAATAAATGTAATGCTTTTTGAATGCATTGTACATTTTCATTTTCAGCACATAAATAAAACAATTTGAACACGAGACATCCACATAAATTAATTCACTAGTGAAAAAAAAAATTATGGCAACTAGAAAAAACTCTAGTAAATATTCAATGGTTGGCTTTTAATGTAGCATTGAATTTAAATGTTCTGTTTGACAGAGCTTAAATGTTAAACCCATGCATAATTTAGGCAAATAAAACTTTACTGCAATTATAATACCAAATTATTTAAAGTGATAATTCAAAGATAGATATATTTATTTTTTTTTACCTTCCACAGTTGATGGGTATTGATATTTTGAGATCAATTTGTGGTAAAACAGTTCCTTTGGAGAAAGTCTTGAAAAATCTGGTTGCACTGCTTCCTCACAATATGGTGATCTGATGACCACATTATCCAATGAGAGAGTTTTTTCTCTTAATATTTCATTGTGTTGCATAAGATTTTTCTCTTTCAAGTTTATATGCATTTTGTGTAACATGGAATTCATGACAGGGCCACGTTTAATCATCAGAAGCAAATTTCTAGCCTTTTTATTTTTTACGGGTAATACTGGTGGTTTAGCCTGGTCTACATAGCAACTTTCTAACCAGTTTTGTCCCGCTGCACCATCATGGGTATTAGCTGCTCCATTTTTCATGAAGAGAGTAGATTGTACTTTTTTTCTCCTTGTAGAATGGTTCAGGTATTGTTTTTTATGTAAAATGGATATAAAAGGTCTACATTTTCTTCCAGCATGCGGTTGTGTTCTAAGATACCGGTGTCTATGAGCTTCTGTTGGGTTGAAATTCCAAGAGTGGAAAATCCTCTTAACAAGAAAACAACTGGTACTTTTAAGATGAGTTTGAAAAATATAGTTTGTTAGATAAACTCCCTCCATTATTTTTTATGCTTTTCTCACAAAGCTGCTTCAATTATTTATTAATTTTTTGTACCAGTATGTATAATTAATATAAATGACAGGCCTAGAATTTTAATAAAATCATTTTTGAGATTTGCATTAACCAAATCTGAAAAAAAAAAGATATGAAAGAAACATTATTAGAATCTAACAACCAACTGTAGCTTCCTCTAGAGCAGGTCTGCACAACTCAAAATGTAAGCATTACTTTATAAAAAAGTTGTGCGGAACAAAAGAAAATAGGACAGGGTGGGGGGAGGGGGTAGCTATTAACAAAATAATAATAAAGAATATTTCGCTACTTCGTGGGCCAAAAAGTGGATGCTCGCGGGTGGGCCATATGTTGTGCGGACCTGCTCTAGAGATTTCAGGCTCTTTATATTTCCAAGTTATATAAATAGGGCTGCCACTAAGTTGTTGATTTTTCAGAATTTGTGTATGGGTGCGCACGGGGAGTGCAATAATTATCCCTAAATTCTGACAGTTCATACATAGCCTTATCATTTTTATCTCTAATATAGCCACAGTCTCCTAAAAATCTGTGAAATCTGAATCCAAGGCTATAAAAATATCACTGAAATGTTTCAAATTTATCATTATACTGTTGCTTTGTGTTTTCACAAATCATTACAAATGAACTTGTTACATATCGCAATGGTAATATTTAGCTTATTGATAACTTTATTCCGATGTTCATAATTATTTAGTTCAGCAGAAACAAAGTATCTTAATAGTAAATAAATAAAAAATACAGTATATATTATATATACAATTACTACTTGCATCATGTGTCTAGTGGGATCGATTTAAGCTAACATAAAAAAACGTAACTTCTAGAAGTAGGTGACTGATGTTTATATTGCTATCCGCAGTCACTTTGCTTTGCAGACATTTATCTGCTATAGATATTAATTAATATTTCAGTGAAACTGCAGATCACATTATCACAGTCTGTCACTGGTAAAAATAAGTTACTAGTGAAATGTAACGTGATTCAAACTCGAAGTGAGATCAGCATCAAATAAAATGTATTAATGTAAGAATTAGTTAACAAATTAGGGCATCATTTTAACAAAACCTGCCAGGTAACTTGATATTTATTTTTTAGGAAAGCCTGTTTCAAAAAAAGGCCTATTAACCTTTCACATATTACTAATTATAGTCTGATAACTATCACAAGCTGTAAATGTCTGAAAGGAAGAGGAGGTATTAAAAATAGCACATCTTTTTTGTGCATTGATTTCAAAGGCCCTCTCAGATCCTATAAAATATGTCGAAATCTAATGTTGCTGCGTGGAACAGATGAGAGCGCATTCTCTAGTTTTCTCTGTTTCTGCACTCGCCACAGTTCAGGCGTAAGAAATAATTATGTCACAAAATGACACCATAAAGCAGCGAAGAAACAAACGCTAGGAGGGGTCTTCTGTACCGTACATACTCAAAATAAATTTAAATTTTCTAACCAACCACCCACCTCCCAGTAACCCAATAGAGTAAATACTGTTTGCAGCTACTAGATGGTGCATAGTTAATTACATATGTGTTATATTTATTTTTTTCCCAACCCTTTATTTTATTTTGTTTATTTATTCGCTATTTCTAATTATACTAGTTAGAATTTAACACAAGGTGCATGGAGAAAACTTAAATTTGGCATAGGAGCCAGGCAACGAAAATTTTAGAAGCACTGGCATAGCGCATACTTCACATGCACTTGAACATACATAGGGTGGTCTAAATATTGCTGTAATACTGCTACTAATGAGTATTATCTGAGCATATCTAACAAGATTATTTGTGAAAATTCATGGCAACATTATGATGATAATTCCCGCCAAACATATATTTTTACAGCATTCAAGATATAAATATGATATTTTTGTACTTTCTGCATTTCAGGATGACTACTGTAGAATTTTTTAATAACATACGTTCTTTCTGCCAAATCATGGCTATAGATAATACTAAGGCAGGGGTCTCAAACTCAACTTATCCCGGGGCTGCAGAAGGAAGAGTCTGCTGAGTGAGACTGGGCAGCATTAAGTATTCCACATACAAGCGATTACAAATAAAATAAAGTGCAACTGTTAAAATCTGCTCAACCTTTATTACTTTATTTATTAATAACAAATAACTTTTGATATATGTATATATAATATTCTAAGCGCATTTTCTGATAACCACACTTTGGTCACGTTTGTCTCATAAAATGCTATAAAATAAAAACTTGTAGTCCGATTTTAAAACGGTTTTTACCATTATAATCAACGTCCAAATCTAGGCTTTAAAAACATAATAAAAATCAGAATTAGACTAGTCTGTGTTTTGTTGTTCATCCGTCGAAGTGGACTAGGACCATCGAGTCATCCGGTTAGGGGGAGGTTGGGATTACAGTGAGCTCGTAGGTGGCTTGCTAGACCGATCCTTGCTCGGAATAATCTATGACACCGTGGGCATGGAATAGTTGCTTCAGACGGTGACCTAATATTGCTCTTTCGGACAAGCCTGCGTGTCTCAGCTGTGATTATTCTATTAGCTTCATGGGATTTAGCCCCCTTCTTGGCAGCAGCTCTCCACCTGGCTCTGTCCTGGGCTGTCTGCACCCATTGAGTAGGGTTTATGCTGAAGGCCTTTAGTCCACTTTCAGTGAGTCTTTGTAACGCTTTTTTTGACCTCCTTGGGAGCGCTTGCCTATGGTGAGTTCTCCGAAGAATAATTGTTTCGGGAGCCGGTGGTCTTCCATACGGGCTACGTGTCCCATCCAACGGAGCTGAGACTGCATTAGAGTGGTGAAGATACTAGGTTGGTTTGTTCTAGCGGGGACCTTGGTGTTGGGGGACTTTGTCTTGCCACCTGATGTCGAGGAGTTTCCTGAGGCAGGTAGTGTGAAAATGTTTCTTGGCGTGACGCTGGTAGACTGTCCATGTTGCCAAATATGGCACTAGCTTTTGGGAGTCTGCCATTCATTTCATCAACCATGACGACAGATCTAGAGAGGGTGCTGCCGAAGTAAGTAAATTTATCCACCGGGTTCAGACGTTGTCCACTGATGACGATGTTGGGTTCAACGTAGAGCTTACTGGGAGCTGGCTGATACATCACCTCAGTCTTCTTTGTGTTGATTGTGAGGCCAAAGTTATTGCAGGCCTCAGAGAAGATATCAACGCTGTGTTTGTTGCATGACGGCTTCTGAGGGAGCGTTGAGGGCACATTCGTCTGCAAACAGAAGCTCGTTGATCGTGGTATGTGAACTATTTAACCTTAGGAGGCTTCAAGCTAAAACCAAGGTCAAAACATACTACGAGACTAGTCTGTAAGATTCAACTGAAACCATCACAGAGGGTCACATTCATTATAGATCTAGTTATAGGTATGAGTCATGAGAATGGACATGGGGAAAACGCTTGGGCTGCATTGACACAAAATATCATCTTGCGGGCCGTGAGTCTGAGACCCCTGTTATGGCTGTTAAGTGTTACGGCACTGTTAAGGCTAAGGCATACTGGCAATGAGCAATAGCATAGTATAAGTATAATTAGTATAGAATAGATTTGCTTTATTAAACTTTATTTTTAATATCCTTAGTCATAGTCTTACTCTTAGTATTCAGTCTTAGTAAGTTACTTAGTTATAATAAAAAAAAAATAGACTTACAAACTAAACTTACTCAACTTAGATTAGAAGTTAGATTTAGATAGACTTATACTTATACTACCCACTAATTATTAAGTCCTAGATCTAGGGGGAAAGGGGGCTGGCTTCCAGCACTCGGGGGAGGGGGGCCGTAGACCTAATAATATAGTATATACTCATAACTGTGTACTAAAGATTTTCCCTGTAATGTTAAACAAAGTTCATAAAATTAATAAACAACGGAAGAACCGGAAAAGGAATTCGTTTATGTGATAAAAGTTGAAAAATCCATATTCTTCAATAACGGTCCTTTCATTTATTACTATTACTTTTCTAGAATAAAAATGTGATTGCCTAGTTTGTTATCACTCCCTCCTGTTGCATCTGCACACTTATTTGGATACCATTTCCCATTATGAGTGCGTAAAAATAAGCTTCTCACCCTGCTCACAAAAATAGTAATTGAGCCTATTTCTTTACTGACATGATAATAAAGGGGAAATAAGCGAAACAAAGTAAGGAAACCTGAAAAAAAACAAAAAAAACAACAACGACTTTTCTGCAAGAAGCCTTCGCCTTCTTCGGCGAACAAACAACAGTAAAAAAAAAAACAATATTAAATAAATAAATACCGGTACTCAACTGCAGTGCAGTATCTGAAAGGATGACAAGAGGAATGTGATAGAACAATAACAGTTAAGAGAGTTAATATGATGATGATGATTTGGTACTTTTAGAGCGCGTGTACTTGTGTCTATGCTATTTTCAAGTATTTAGCATGCTCACAGCGCTCTGATCTCCTAAAATATGTTTAAATAAAAATTTATTTAAATTGTTCTTAAATGACTTTTTATCATTTTCAATATCCCTCAAAGATTGAGGCAAACTTTTCCACGATTTATGCGCAATAGCTTCAAAAGAGCGTGCCCCGTTATGACTTCTTTCTGTGCTTATCCACACTGGGAACTCTCTCTCTCTCTCAGTAAGGACTGTGTTGAATAGTGCAGGTTCTGTATGGGGGCGTCCATTAATTATGGCAACAAATGGTGGGGTTTAGATTAGTTTAAATTGTTCTTAAATGACTTTTTATCATTTTTAATATCCCTCAAAGATTGAGGCAAACTTTTCCACGATTTATGCGCAATAGCTTCAAAAGAGCGCGCCCCGTTATGACTTCTTTCTGTGATTATCCACACTGGGAACTCTCTCTCTCTCAGTAAGGACTGTGTTGAATAGTGCAGGTTCTGTATGGGGGCGTCCATTAATTATGGCAACAAATGGTGGGGTTTAGATTAGTTGACGTCAACATAATGTTTTCTCTATTAAAATTTTAATCTTAAAAATTGACTGTTCTTAAATTATTTTAAACAATTTAATGAGTGTAAATAGTCATATATGTTTAGGCTTTTAACAATTTAAGAGTTATTTAATGTGTGTCTGTCTGTGCACTGCAGATGGATGGTCAGAATGTTAGCTCACTTTGTTTGTGCAAAAAAAGTTAAAAGTTGGCATCTCTTCACCTGTCATTTTTCTCTTAATCCACTCCCTAGAATGATTAACACATCATTGTACAAGGTGTTCAATTTTAAAAAAAACAAAAAAACACCAACTCATCGGTGTTCAATAACAACAATACCAACTCAAAGACAGAGAAAGAGCTTATGACAATTATTGCTCACACAGACAATGCTTTTATTTTAAGAGCTGAATGTACAGGGTGGGCCAATAAAAGTGAGAACATCTCGTAAAATATTACTTTACGAGATGCTCTCACTTTTATTGGCCCACCCTGTAGATAAGGATGCTGCTGACTTTTCTGGTATATCAGTCCGCAAGATGAAAACGATAAATCAGCTACTACAGACTATGCCCATCAGGGGCACCATTTCAGTTTTTTTTAAGGTGAAGTGAGGGGGGGGGGGCACCAAAACTTGGTCGGCTTGTTAAGTTGTTTATTACTGGAGGCGCCACAGTACATAGCAATTAAAATAAACCAGCAAAATGGGGGGGGGGGCAAATGCCCCTTGCCATAACCAAATGATGTCCCTGATGCCCATTGTTACGATAAAGCAACACCTGGCTACTTCATGGGAAGATAATAGCAGCTAGAAACTATACTACAATTGCCAGCTATACTGAAAATAATCATATGTATACTTTCCCAAAAACTTTTTAACTTGTTAATTAACAAGCTAAAGATGTCATAAAATGTTTTTCCTACAATTTTGTGTTACCGTATTAAAAAAGTACATCAGCACTAAGTTTTTTTTTTTTTTTTTTTGTTTTTTTGTTTTTTTTTGGTGGGATGTTATAAAATGTTGACATAATTAAATATTGGGGTCATCGAAAGTTTGACAGTTGTTTACAAGGGGGGGTGGGAGGGGGTCAACATTGCTTAAAAATTGTTGAAGTAATTAATGGACGACCCCTATGGATATATTTTTAGAAATCATTTTTTGAAGATATGCAGGTGCAGAGCCTTCTATACAGTTATAAGCCAGGGACAGAATTTTGTATTCAATGTGTTCACTCACAGGAAGCCAATGGAGATCTTTAAGAACTGCTGATGTGATATGTTCAGATTTCTATATACGCGATATAATGCGTGCTGCAGTATTTTGTACCTTCTGGAGTCTCTGAATTTGGTTTTGAGACAAACAACTGTTTGTTACAGTAATCTAATTTTGATTGGATTAGACTGACTGCTAAGGCATTGGCTGTTCTCTTATTATGTTGAGGACGCAGCTGACCCAGAGCGCGAAAATGACAGAAGCAAACCCTGACCACAGAACTGATATGAGGGATCATAGTAAGTTTGCTTTCATTGTAAAGGCCAAGGTCTCTAACCACGTTGGACAAGAGGATCTCAGAAGCACAACTTTTATCGATGAAATTATTGAAATAGCAACCTTCCGAATATTGGCATCAGAACCAGCATATAATTGCCCTGTGTGTTATCTTATCGTCATTCAATACAGGGAAACGAGGAACGGAAGAGAGGAAAAGTGGCCATAAAAAATTTGCCGATATTTGACCTCGCCTCCCCCACCGTCACAAAAAATTAGACACCCCCCCCTTCCACAATACAACGTCAATAACCTCTTCCCCCCCCCCCCCACCATAAAAAAATGTATCTGTCCACTGCTGTCCTATAAAAACCCTTATCAAAATCACCTCCCATGGATATCGAATTACTGCACATGTGTTATAGAAACGTTTCCCTATAGCAGTGGTTCTTAAAAAAGGGTGAAAGTGCGTAAGACTCGGAAAATAAATTTCATTTGCTGGTGAAATAATTTTTTTTTTCTTCTGGTAAATTTTGTTTGCACATTACCGGTATTGGTAATATTTTTCTTGTATCTAGTTACTTAGTTTAACAAATAAAAAGACAATAAATAATTAATTTTAATTTTTTACATTTTATTACGGGGTACTATTTAAATGTATACGGGGCTGGGGGGGGGACCAGATCCAGTCAGTCTCCAGAAGCCGATCCCCTCTGCACCACCCTTACGAATTGCAATGCCATATTCTTGAGCCAGTTTCCTCCGGTGCTACCATTCAAAGAGAGGTCCGCTGGGACGAGCACATTAACAATGTTTGCAACCGGGCAAACAAGACCCTAGGGCAGCGGTTCTCAACCTGTGGGTCGCGACCCCTTTGAGGGTCGAACGACCCTTTCCCAGGGGTCCCACACGACCATCGGAAACACATGTAATCTAGAGTTATGAAGTGGCAACGACAATAATTTTGTGGTTGGGGGTCGCCACAACATGAGGAACTGTATTAAAGGGTCGCGGCATTAGAAAGGTTGAGAACCAATGTCCTAGGGTTCTTAAAACTAAATCTGAAGATCGGCAACTCAAGCGTGAAAGAAAAAGCCTATTGTCGAGTATGGGAGTTCAATAATAATTGTTGCGACTGAATATTATTATTATTTATTATGTTTCATTACGTTTGAGAGTTTTATTAATTAGTGAACGCTCTTCCCGCGCTTGACTCTGTGATGTATTTTTATGCTGATTGTGACGTATTGTCTAGACTGTATTGTGACGCAAGTTTTAGTCGTGCGGCAGTCGTGAATGGAACTTTGTGGAAGTAGGATGTGTTTTATTTCTGTCTGATAGCGAGCTGCGCTACATTCATATGTATATGGAGTTTACAGCCTGTGTAAATAATAAGATATTAAAGTTACATAATTTATTATGTTAAAGGACTTGAGTTTATTCAATATTAATACGACGTATTTCAACGTGTGAAAGAACTAAACGGATTAACCAATGCAGTAGAACATAGGAGTTGACACCTATAAAGCCTTTGTTCGGCCGCTTTTAGAGTACGCATCTTCAGTCTGGGACCCACTCACCCAGAAGAGCAGGTTAGAGGCGGTCCAGCGACGGGCAGCACGCTATTCCCCGAACCGCTTCAGAAACACCTCAAGTGTTGGCAGTTTGCTGGTCCACTGCTCCAGCATTAAACAGAAACTCGTCCCTCTCCCAATTAATCAGTGACGAGGCCACGACAGGCAGTTCCGGCTCATAAAAAACAAGAACTCAGAACAGGAGCTCCTCATTCCTGCCTAAGACAATAAGGGACTGGAACAAGCTTCCAAAAGCAACAGTTGAGGCGACCACACTTGACACATTTGCGTCTACTGCCTCCTGTCTTCCAAATCCCAGTTCATAATATCATTACTGAGTAGCCATTGCAACCAGTGAAGTATCCCCTTCAAAACCACGCACAATTACATCGCGAACCCCTCTGAAACATACGAGCCAGAATTATCGATTCATTGATCGTGGGCCCTCAAAATATAGAAGAAGAAGAAGGTTGCGGGAAATTTTTAGAAGTTGAGAGAGGATGCAGCACTGAGAAAAAACTAAGAATCCCTGGCCTAGAACATTTACTAAACTCACCCTCACACCCAGTCCAACATATTTCGTTCCATCTCTCTTCCCGTAGTAGCTCCAATTCCATTATTCCCGTCTCTACATTTCAGCATAAATTCTCACGACTGCCAAAGTCACTACACCCCATTCTCTTCCTCCTTTGCGACATGTAACTTGATCAGATGCCATTTCTCGGACCTCGCATACCTGTACTGATTCTCTCGGTGATCATAGTTTGAAAAAAAAAATATTAGAATTTTTGTATAAAAGAATAATGTCAAAATGTTCGGTAATTTAGTGTTATTGGGGGCTTTTTTAACTGCAATGTTCCGCTTTTAATGTGACGTCACTTTGCTCTAAACCACTCCCCCCCCCCCTCATCACACATGGTAATAAAAATGTGACCCCCTTCCCTCCCTTTACGCG